TTGACGGTCTGCTGTGACGTTCTCGTAGTCGTTTGCCAGTTGTATCAGTTTGATTATCGAGTCGGCTTCTGATTTTTTTATGTAGTATTTGTATTTAGTGTTCATGTTCTCGTAAATTCTATTTAGTTCTTCCTCTTTTGATAGTTTTGCGTATCTGCGCATGAGTGTTTGTATCTCAATCAGGTAGTCTGTGAATTTTTGGCGGTAATGTTGCCTATAGTTCACTATTTTGGCTAACAGGTCACTGTCACGGCTCACAAATGTCAACTTGAAATATTCTATGAATTCGTTCCATGTAGTGAACGAGTTTTTATTATTCCGATACCACAGCACAGCCTTACCTTTAAGGAATCTGGGGAGCACTTTGAGCACTTTGTCTTGTTTCACCTCGCCCGACGACATTAGTTCATCTAGTCGTTCTAGGAACTCCACTGGGTCGTTGTATGTATCGAAGCTTAGGTTCCATCTGGATGTTATGTTTTCGGTCTGATCCATGGTGTACGACATGTTTGGTTTGTCGTTGTCTAGTTCTTGGTGCATCTCTGTGTCTTCGAAATCGGTTTCTGACTCACTGTCTTCGGCGGACTTACTGGCGGACTGGACTGGTTGGTGGGACTGCTTGGTTCTGAGTACTTCTGTGAGGTTCTGTCTCAGTTCTTGTACGGTTCTGTTCTCCGTTTTTATGTTTCTTCTTCTGCACTCGTTCTCAAGTTCTGTCTTCTTGAGTTTGTATATCCAAGATGTCGGTTCTGACATGTGTGATTATTACAAAGTTTTGCGTTCCTTGTGGTCTTTCGCTTCTCTAGCGATCTGGTGTTCCCTGTAGGTTCCGTGGGTTATTTAGTTGGGCGCCATTGCAACGGGGCGTCTAAGCTAGCTCAGTCTGACACCCCGCTGTTTAGTACTAAGTCCCAGTTCGCCTTCTGCGATGAGGGATGTGTACCTATCCAGGATGCCTACAGGGATATTTGACCAAGGAAACGCACAATCAATAACACAATGGCACTTAAAAGTCGATGATTATTTAAAAGATAAAAATGTTTGGGATACGTTACTGCCTAGCTCGCATAAATATTTATAACTTTGTACATTTTAAAGCATGTAAACCTTTGAAAAAGAGGCTGACAATAGTGACTGAGTTTCTTGCGCTGCTTCTTCTCAGCACTGGCCCATTTATTGTCCTGAAGCAGTGGTAGGGTTAATCCTGGGACGTGTAAAAGTCCTTTTTTTAAGCCTATTTACAGAAATAAATGAGTTTTAATGAGTTTTTTTTTTAATGAGTTTAAGTCGAACCAGATTTTGTGACTTTTGTCGTCTTATTTCGATCAGCAGTTCCTCTACCCTCTGCCTTAAGCCTCGTATCCAATTGAACAGTTTCAGTCTGCCTCGAGAAGAGGCTGCTCATGTGGATACTAGACTTATTATAAGGTCACAATAAAAACTGTTTTCTCCAACCGCAAAGATCCATTACCGCGTTCCTGTTCGGCGATAATTAAATGAAATGTAAAATGTCATGGTGACAGTCTTAGATTACTCTCGAATCGGATATACTGAATTTTAGTAAATTGATTTTTTATTAGATTGTCACATTAATTTATTTTTATTAGATTATGGCATTCTTCTCCTGTTCACCTTAGGGCGAAACAGAAAAGGCGGTAAATAAATATAATCTATTCGAATTTCGCTATTCCAGAGAACGGCGTGCACATGCTCCTCTGGGTAGGCTCGGCCGCATCTCCGGAGTTCGTCCGCGACGTGTTCGGCGCCGCCTCGCCGCAACACATCGATACACAAGTGGCCGAACTGCCGGAGCTTGACAACCCTACGAGCCAGGCGGCGCGCGCGCTGGTTGAGGAAGCTAGAGTGAAGCGACGCAATGCTATGAGGGTAAGCAGCATTAACTGTCTATCGCCCGTATCCACAAACATTACTATGAGGTCTCACAGTGCGCGTGGACGCACAGGGTGACATATGAACCAATCACAGAGCTCTATTCAACGCTGTGCGTTCGATTTGCTGCTTCACTTAAGCAAGCATCGTTTGTGAATACGGGCATATATCTCGTCGTCATCAGGTCATTTGGTCACCATTCCAGGAGCACGCACGACCTATCTGATTTACCAGAGGCAAATGGTAATATCTGTACAGTTTGACGTAGTCATAGTCAGGGGGGCTACTCCCAAATACGTCATCCGAAGAGACGAATATTTCCATCTCTCTCACACAAATTGAGATTCCATCATGAGCGACAGTGACAGGTAAACCGAAACTATGTGAAACGACTGTGAAGTGTTCGGCGCCGCCTCGCCGCAACACATCGATACACAAGTGGCCGAACTGCCGGAGCTTGACAACCCTACGAGCCAGGCGGCGCGTGCGCTTGTTGAAGAAGCTAGAGTGAAGCGACGCAATGCTATGAGGGTAAGCAGCATATAACTGTCTCTATATCATCAGGTCATTTGGTCACCATTCCAGGAGCACGCACGATCTTTCTGATTTACCAGAGGCAATGGTAACATCTGTATAGTTTTGACGTAAAGTCTGGTCCGTGAGCACGTAGAATTTTGTCCAATGACCCCTAGCTACCCATCCTTATCGCTCGCGCGTAATTATGTTGCTGTCGCGCTCGCACACTCACTGCGGGTGCCAGTCGCACAGTCGCGACAGCAATATAATTACGCGCAAGCAATAAGGATGGGTAGCTAGGGGTCATTGGACAAAATTCTACGTGCTCACGGACCGGGCTTTAGTCACAGTCAGGAGGGCTACTCCCAAATACGCCATCCTCACTGTCGAATATTTCCACCTCTCTCACACAAATTGAGATTCCATCATGAGCGACAGTGATAGGTAAACAGAAACTATGTAAAACGACTGTGACGTGTTCGCCTGAGCTAGATAACCCTACGAGCCAGGCGGCGCGCGCGCTGGTTGAAGAAGCTAGAGTGAAGCGACATAATGCTATGAGGGTAAGCAGCATATAACTGTCTATCGCCCGTATTCACAAACATTGCTATGAGGTCTCACAGTGCGCGTGGACGCACAGGGTGACACACGAACCAATCACAGAGCTCTATCCAACGCTGTGCGTCCGATTTGCTGCTTCACTTAAGCAAGCATCGTTTGTGAATACGGGCATATATCTCGTCGTCATCAGGTCATTTGGTCACCATTCCAGGAACACGCACGACCTTTCTGATTTACCAGAGACAAATGGTAACATCTGTATAGTTTTGACGTAGTCACAGTCAGGAGAGCTACTCCCAAATACGTCATCATCATCATCATCATCATCTCAGCCATAGGACGTCCACTGCTGAACATAGGCCACCCCAATGCTTTCCATGTTACGGCCCAATACGTCATCGTCACTGTCGAATATTTCCACCTCTCTCACACAAATTGAGATTCCATTATGAGCGACAGTGACAGGTAAACCGAAACTATGAAAAACGACTGTGACGTGTTCGCCTGAGCTAGATAACCCTACGAGCCAGGCGGCGCGTGCGCTGGTTGAAGAAGCTAGAGTTAAACGACGCAATGCTATGAGGGTAAGCAGCATATACTGTCTATCGCGCGTATTCACAAACATTACTATGAGGTCTCACAGGGTTATAAGGTACAGGGTGACACACGAACCAATCACAGAGCACTATTCAACGCTGTGCGTTCGATTTGCTGCTTCACTTAAGCAAGCATCGTTTGTGAATACGGGCATATATCTCGTCGTCAGGTCATTTGGTCACCATTCCAGGAACACTCACGACCCTTCTGATTTACCAGAGGCAAATGGTAATAGCTGTATAGTTTTGACGTAGTCATAGTCAGGAGAGCTACTCCCAAATACGTCATCATCATCATCATCATCATCATCTCAGCCATAAGACGTCCACTGCTGAACATAGGCCCCCCCAATGCTTTCCATGTTACGGCCCAATACGTCATCGTCACTGTCGAATATTTCCACCTCTCTCACACAAATTGAGATTCCATCATGAGCGACAGTGATAGGTAAACCGAAACTATGTAAAACGACTGTGACGTGTTCGGCGCCGCCTCGCCGCAACACATCGATACACAAGTGGCCGAACTGCCGGAGCTTGACAACCCTACGAGCCAGGCGGCGCGCGCGCTGGTGGAAGAAGCTAGAGTGAAGCGACGCAATGCTATGAGGGTAAGCATAACTATATCAGTATTAAAAAACAGCTCAACAGACCCACGTTTTTGATAGGTCTAATCTGGTCGTATTGGTCCTTCGAGCCGGATTTGAACCAGTCTAAAATCATTATCAAACATTCTTGCATTTGCCTGCAAGTCTATATTTTGGTCTACAACTTAAGGAAAAGAGCTTCTCTCAAGGTTAAATAATTATGTTGTAAGGTAAGTGTCTTTTAAAGTATCATAGACTAGAGTTCGAAGACAAAATCAAGTTCGAACTTCGAAGCAAACATCCAAAGAAAAGGTTACCAGCAAAGCTTAGCACTGTTAAAAAAAGAGTACGTATGCACTGTATCTTATAAGTATTTTTAGTTTTTTTTTTCCTAGAACCTTTAGTTCCAATCTATCTGCTAGCATGACACGCATGCATTTTTCTTTGCATGTACTTAATTTGACTATTTCCTTCTGAATTTTTATACTGAAAAGATATTGAGTGAAAATAGAAATATTCTAAACGTCAATTATATTGAAATGTCATTAAATTAAAAAAAGTATCAGATTAGCATTCACTCAATATCAATGCATGATTGAAAGCGCTTCGTAAACGAGCAGCACTTTTTTGGCAAAATTGCTTCACTATACAATATGGCAACATTATTATTAACTATATTGGCCGCATCATTTTAGAATGTAGGCCATGTTGTTCTAAAACAATTTCTCATAAAAATACATATTGGATATAATCGAATCTCGCTTCAGTTTGTCTCAATCTTACTTTGCTTTAGATACCAAAACTGAATGCAAAGTTTTGGACAAAACCTATAGATGACGCTACTAAAATTTCAATAAAACAGCGTCTATAGACATAATGAAGACAACATACGAATTTCAATGACGGTTTCTTTTAATTTCTCGCAAGTCTCTCAACACTTGCAATTCCGTTGCTCGTTTACAAGCCCCTAACGCCCTGGCTTGGTAGTTGGACATAGTGCACCAGTACGACAAACGGGAGGCAATGTTCCGGCGATTGCTGGTTGAGGACCGAGGGCTGGACGGCGCCGATTCCTACACGGAACACCTGCTCAACACTCACAAGACTGTCCAGAAGATGCTGTATGTTGACGCGCTTTTGCCCCAAAACTTTCGGGGATATTCCACTTATCTTCGTTGGCTTGCCCTACCTTAGTGAACGTTTCTCCACGAATCTTCTTTCAGCTTCTACAAATCTCCATTCCATTCGAGCTAAATTTTTCTTTTGACTAGTTCAAAATTGTGGCAAGTCAGTGACGATAAGTGGGATGACCCATTTTACGCTTTTTTATGGTCTTTGGGCAACATTTCAAGTTATTTGGGCAACATTTCAAGTTATTTGGGCAGACAGGTTTTCTTTCCTCTTGGTGGTATAGGTTTTAGATGTCGTGTGGCTTCTTTCATCCAAGGTAAATAGATCTATGGTATCCCGGTAATTCCAAGATGGCACTGATGAGATTGTGTTAGTTGTGTGTGTGAATATCACATATTTCAACTGTAATAGGTAAGGGAACATATTAAAAAGCAGTGTGCTCGCTTCGTTTTACTTAATATCTAAAGAGCGTGACGTGTGATGGATTGAGTGTTTTAATAACGTGTTCTTGCGTGTATTTCGATTGTGTGATTTAAAGCTTATTATTTTGCCGTTTTTGATTTGGCCGTTTGGTGTAGTGGTTCAGAACGGACTACTATGCCGGGAGGTCCCGGGTTCGATTCCCGGCCGGGCAGAAATTGAAATGATGAATTTTAATTTCTGTGACGGGTCTGGGTGTAAATATGTATAATATGTATGTATTTAATAAAAAAAAAGCATATAAGTAGTATATCCGTTAAGCTAGCACCCATAACACAAGCATTGAGTTGCTTACTTTGGGGCTAGCTGGCGCTGTGTGAAATTGTCCAAAGATTTATTTATTATTATTTATTTTAATTTTGTTGTTATTTATTTCTTTTTATGTTGGTATGCTAATTGATTCGTTTTTACGAGTGATTTGTGTATTCTAAACTGGTATTAAGCCAGGGGGTTGGGTAAGGTTTCATTTATTAATTTACACAAGATTTTGTATAGCACCTTAAATTACATAGAATTGAATTTGACATACACTCGGCATCAAATAAATCGCACCTCCCGCGACAAGCACTTATCAAACGTATGCATCCCCACTTCCCACCAACATTGGTACCATTTGAAAGCCTAGTTCTAAACTTCATTTCATTAAAGGAAAGGTTTTTACCCCAAAAATGTGTCTTTACAAGGATCCAGAGTCACTTCTTCAAAAAATAGGTAATTACGCTATAGCCATTTTTTATGACTATAAAACTGTTAAGTTGGGATTAATCGCTATCCATCTGTTAAAGAGGACACGTGAGATCTTTACTTGGTTTTTTAACCATAAAAATTGGTCTAATTGATCCCAGAGGTGAGCCCAAAGTGAGGTCTATTTTCAAGTCACATTTATGGTATATGTTAATCATTTATTTAGAAATGAAATGTATTTTTCTTTAAGGATATTTATTGGGCTTTCAAATAACACCAATATTGTTGGGGTCATGGTACCCCAACAATATTGTGTCAGAAGAACATCTTTAAAGTTCGCGTCGCGGAAGGTGCGGTTTATTTGATGTTGAGTGTATTAACTTGACCTTAGAAAAAACAAGCTTAGCAAGGTTTTCTTTAGTTATGGACCAGATATTAACCGCATTCCGTAGTGTGTATGGTATGGTGGTAGCTATATTGCCACTACTGCGTGCTATGTAATGGATTAAAAAGTGGCTTGACACATCTGTGCATATCACAGCAAATCAAACATTTTAAAAATATTAATTACTCAAATTTTAATAACAAACATCATTGTTCTAGCTAACCCTAATGCGACAACACGACAAACTAGAAGCGGTCCTACGACACTTCCTTGTGGAGGACCGCGGCGTGGACGGCAGCGCGTCCTACGTGGACTACCTCTGCCACGTGCACAAGGAGATCCGGGCGATGCTATAGCCAGAGTATTAACACCAGCACCGCTGGCGCCTGGAACACTTCCTCGACTGGTGAGCGACATTGTCAAACGCATAGGCCGAGTCTGTTAAATTTCTTTTACCAAATTTTGGACGGAACATTATCAAAAGCTTTGGCGGGGTCTGTTAATCTTATAAAATATTGAACTAGTTTATACAAGTTATTGCCTTTATCAAATAACGATGGATAAATAAGTTAAAAATCGATTGACGTATGAGGCAATGATTCATTTAACTTTAAAAGAAGTGTTGATTGAAGTTGTCTTAAAACTTACTTGTACTTATACTTGTTTTGTCTAAAACTCTGTTTCCCTTAATGTACAAGGTTAACTTAACATATTGCTTTATCTAAACATAAATACCTTTTTGTTTAAATCTTAAAAGTTATAAGCACTAAAATACGTCCTTGCGATACTCGTGACATTGAGCATTACGTAGTACGTATGTCTATGATACACTAGAATTGGTTGTAAGATTCAAAGGCTGTACCTATATTAGTAAATTGTAGGATAAATCGTGGTTATTACTTCAAAAAATATTGTATTACAGCCTTATTGTATTTCTTGTATTGTATAAATGTAAAAGAAAATTAATGAATTCATGTTCAATTATTAAAATGAAATGAAATTTCGCTCACCAATCGAATGAAAAGTTTCCAGCGAATACAGTTTTCGATTGATGCAGTGATCGATTTTTTACATTCACTTACTGTTTAATGTAATATAATTATTATTAGCATACATAAATGATAGTGTAATAATTAAATCCATTCCGAACGCATGTGTCAAAGTATACAAAATAGTATTTTACATAAGTTCGAAAAATCTTTCACTGCATCAGTGTTAAAGTAAGTGTGTGAGTGATGAATGTGTGACAACCGATGAAATGACAATTATCCGATAGTGTCACTGCCTCTATTTCTTTTCTTCAAATTTTCATGGTAATGTTACTATTAAAAAAACATCTAGTACATTGGGCATGTAGCTTTTATTAATAAAATTATAATTTAGTCGATGCTCGAAAATTTTAAAGTACTTACCCTAAATTACCATGGAAATTGTAATCCATAGACACTGGAAAGTGTACAGCATCAATAACTGTATTTTGTCGAGTATTGTTTGTAGTCGGATAATGGCAACACTGAGATGACTGACCAATATTGTACAGTGCAATAAATATAACTTTGCTAAATAAACTTAAAAAGTGAACGCAGAGCTATACTTTTTGCATATTATAAAATGTTGCCATGCTATAGCATTAGCATAGGATATTTTCAAGATTACACTGTTAGAAATTTTACGGTTAATAATAAATAATATTAGAATAGAGATTTTGTAAAATAAATCGTGAATTTCAGGCGGAATCAATAATTTTATTGTTTTTATTTAATCATTCTTATTTAGTTATTGTTAATGTCTAACATAATGTTTCGCGCGAAGCCGTTTACTTTCTTATGATATTAAACCGAGCGATAGTTGTAGAAGTTTTATTATTATCTTGTATGTATGTATTTCAGTATCTGTAAGACGCGAATGTAATGGAGTGTAAATAAATATATTGGCATTATTATTTTCAGTCTGTCTTTTATTGGTTTATATTTTTAGAGATATTTCATAGTACCTTACATAAAAAATCCCAATTAGTGCTTAGCAGTGATTGTGTTGTGATCTATCTTCCATTCCTATTCAGACTGGAAAGAGATGATTATTATTGAAAGAAAAAAACAATTGAATATTAAATTAAGGATCCGCAAGTGAGCATTAGGAAAACAAGCGAGCATCAGGAAAACAAGTGAGAATTGGGAAAACAAATGAGCATTGAGAAAGCGAGCATTGGGAAAACAAGCGAGCATCGGGAAAACAAGTGAGAATTGGGAAAACAAATGAGCATTGAGAAAGCGAGCATTGGGAAAACAAGCTTGCATCGGGAAAACAAGTGAGAAATAATGAAAACAAGCGAGCATTGGGAAAATAAATGAGCCGGATACAAACAAAAAGCGAGAGTTGACAAAACTAGTGATATTAAATTGATACCTATGCGATAGTCATTTAATAATTAGTTAGCTACAATAATTAAAACAAGATGTTTAGTCCAATCTTTATTCACAGCATTTCATTGACTATTAAAAACAAACATGGTTCTCAAGTTCACTACACGTGTGATGCGCTCGCGCAGTAAGCGGCGTACGTCGCATGACGTCAGCACTCTGGCGCAGGAGGCGGCTTGGTGTACACCAGGACTGGGTTCGGGCTTCCATCTCATTCTGACTGCAAAGAGGGACATCATGATCATTTAAAAAACAATTGAACGGAGATAAGTGAGCGTAGGAGGAAACATTGGAATAACTAGGGGAAAAGTGACAACTATTGGAGAAACGATTATCAAGGAGGTAAGAAAAATTATATTTAGTACGGAATACTACAGTAGAATTTACAAGAAATTTCTGCTTCGTAACCTACCTTCTGTTGCTATTTTGTCAACAAAAGGCGGTGATATTACCATCAAGATGGCACAAGCTCGTTGGTTTCTTCGTATAGGTAAGTGTAATATGTGACACTAGTTTGCGTTGCATACACACTACTACATAAGTATTATTTTATAAGTACCGGATAGCGCAGCGTAGGACGTCCACCCTCAAGGTGGACCGACGACCTCATAAAGGTAGCGGGAACTGGGAAGGCGCTGGATGCAGGCCGCCACCAACCGGCCATTGTGAAAATCATTGGGAGAGGCCTATGTTCAGCAGTGGACGTCTTATAGCTGAAATGATGATGATGAAGTTCACTTATTAAATGCTTACAGGTTTCGGATAAATCACTTCAATGATAGGCCCCTTATAGTTGCAAGGCAGGCAGGTGTCGGGACAGCGGCTCTGCCTCAGTCGCTTGCAGCCGGCGACTCGAGCGATCCACGCGCAGCACAGCAGGAGAACTTGAAGCATCATTGTTGGGTTCTGTAGAACGTGTTCTGGTGTTTTTTCTGTGAACAAGACACAAAGATCAAACGTGGCTTGAAGATTTCTAGAGCTGTCAATGAAATGATTCCTTAGGAGCTGCAGCTCAACGAGAACAGGCTGGATTGAGAGCTTATTTCTAATTCTAGAGAGTTTGTGAAGTGCTATGCGTCGTAAATATGCGAAATACTGCATGTTACAAAAGGACGAAAAATAAAATTGACAATCAAGCCAACAAGTGACGAAAATTCCAGCAAAATTCCATCAAGTTCCAAGCAGAAGGCAGACGAAATATTGAGACATGGCTGGCATTACATAGATGTCACTATTGGAGGGTATCATAAAGTGACTGGAAATCTCGTAAGAAGCCACCAGAGATGTGCGAGAATGCGTAGAGAGGGATGTGTTTGTCAAGAACCAATATAATTTCTTCATTTGCCGAGGCGAGGTACTCGAGGGCTTACCGGTTTAGGCGACACAACTTCGATGTACGGTCCTTTATACGTGCAGGGCAGGCAGTACTCGGGAATACGGCTCTTGCGCCGGCAGCCCGCCACCTCCACCAGCCAGAAGCACACTTGCAGCAGAACTATCAGCACTTTCTCCACGAGCATGGTGATACGTTTACGATTATACGACTGGGAATAACATGAGGTTGCAGGTGCTTCTATTTCTGAAAAAAAAGTACAAAATAATGACAGCTCAAACATTTGATAAGGAAGTTCAGAGTGCCTCAGAAAAGAGTTGGGATCATTTAAATAAGCAGAATGAGGGCTGGCAAACTTGTGAGTTTCAACCGTCACCAAAAATGCCTTCATCATAATAACAATAACATTCAAGCAGTTGGAATCTAATAAATACTTATTACAACCCGGTCGAGTTCACTGCGAATGCGACTCTCCCTCGCACTCACCCACATCTCCCCGCGTTCATCCCGTTCGTACCAGAGCGTCGACGTGACGTCACGACCGCCAGGTGCGCAGTTAACTTGACCGGTTTGTAGTGCAACTACATCTTTATCTTGGTTAAAAAAAAGCCTTGTAAGGTAAGTGCCCCCTACTTCGGTATATTAAGGCTCTTACGACTTTAACATTTTATTTAAAAATAACCAAGCATGATATCAGTATGAAAGCTTTTGTATGCTAAACTTTGGTCTTTTGACAGTAAGTTAATACATAATTTATAGTTATATAGTTTGAACTTTTTTTTATATTAATTGTTCTGCGGACCTCTTGTTTGGATCCTGTTTCGTGACAAAATTTTGCTCTGTTTCTAAGTTCGTGAACTCATGTCCCCTATTTCGGGATAAGGTTTTATGCATACAGTTAGGATATTTTAATAATGATTAAGGGTTTAATAAATTTAAAAACGATAATAAATATTTACAATAAAATAATTATGTGAAATTGACGATATTACTTACCTGAAATATTCATAAGAAATAATGTGTCTAGTATAATATTTTGATTTGTTAATTCTAACAATATGTGAAAATATTTATATAACCATTAGAAATATANATATCCTTGAATCGGTAGTGTCACGAAATAGGGGACACACGAAAAATAATATGTACGCTATTTCGTGAGTCAATTAATCGCAATTTTAAAGGAATTCTACGTTTTCATATAACTTTTTTCTAAGCCAAATCAATTGTCAAGGAACACATGAAACCACTATTACAAGTTTTATTTAAATGGACGTTCCTTCGCCTTTTTATAAGCTTAAGAAGTTGGAGCGCTAACCTTACGGTGAGAGCAACCTTTGCAAGCCGCACGGCTGTTTTTGGCTCTCTGAGAGTTTGAAGCTTCGTATTACTCTCATTTTTGGCGCCACAATGCTGGTACTTGGTTTTTTAGATAGCTTAAATAATAGAGTTTTTGCAGTAATGAAGAATTTTTTTAAATAATGTTCCATTTGCTTATTATTTGAGCTAGAAAAGAAACTTACGAACTTACGTACTATCACGAACTAGTAGCCGTTTACCTTAATTATCAAGTTACCTTAATATAAATCGCGTTGGCCAGGCGGTTAGTTCTCTTCTTGCTCTTGTCACAACTTTTGGTCAACTGCTTCCTTTCGCCAAAGTGCTTGAGGTCCATCACTGATACTGCGATGTGGAGGAGGAGCAACACAAACTCGTTCAGGTACAGCATCTTAAAAACTGCGAAAAGTATTTTGGATAAGTTACAAGGAAATTTGGCGAGAGCTAGAAAAAGAGGAGCTGAAAATCTTTGGTTTTGTATTTAGTCTACTGAAGCTGAAGGATGCTGATGTGAACTGCTAGTCTACACAATACATTGTTTCTTTCCTGCAAAAACTAGCACAGATTCATTGAGGATTTGTTTGTGAAGACAAAGATACATTGCAAGACTGTTTTGTCGCTTTGCAGGCAACTCAGGACTGATTGTTGTGGAAATCCTTGGGAACGAAATAGAAAAGGGTGAGTACTTCAGAGTCAGGATTTACCAGATCACTTCTTGTCACATTTGGGGCTGTTCTCGTGGTTTTGTTCCCCAGTTGACGAAGCACAATGTCGTATCCTGCGTGTCCAAACAACTGCACGCAGAAAGATTTAATGAAGGCTACTGACAACGCCACTCTTGTGGCGGAGTTTTGGGCTGACACTGTGTAGGTTTGTTGTCGACACGACAAGAAGAAGACTTGGGGCAGTTCTCGTGACCTGTCGTTGTGGAAATTTTGAGGAAGTTTCGAGTTGAAACGAAATAATATAGAAAAAGGTAGGTACTTCAGAACCAGGACTTACCAGATCACTTCTTGTCACAGTTGGGGCTGTTCTCGTGGCAGGTCACGTACTCGTGGCGCGTGCAGCCGAAGCACGACTCTAGGTACGACAGCAGCAGCGTCACCACCAGCACCACGACTTCTTGGAGGAGCTCAGTGTCCATCGCCTGAGGAACTAGAAGAATCAAGTCTACTGTAGTAAAGGCATCTTCAGCCGAAAGCGTATCTGAGCATTTTCTATGACAATGTTTGGAAGTACGCGAGTAGTGCAAGTTTCCCACGCTTTTCGACAGGCCTGAGGCCTTATGCTTCAACTACACCAACGCGTGCAGATCCCTATCGCCGATGCGATCATAAGCCAATGACAGGGTCGCGCGGACTGTCATGGGTCGCTTGAAGCTTTAGTTGCTATGTGCAGATGAAATAGCAAGTTGACGTTGTTAAGGGAACGTTTCAGGGAGTAAGGTATCATCGTCCTCTACAACAACATTCAAATTCAAATTCATTTATTTGCACATTGATACGAAGAAGTCCGTCAAGTACAAATTATTATTTTCCTATAAGAATGGAGATGGAAGATACAGATAATCAGATTCAAGGAGCCTTGGAAATAATGTAAAGAAAAACTGGTTCTGGAGCTCAATCCAAAACCAAAGTTTAAGCAAATCATATACATTAAATTTTGATAGACGCACCCAATCAGATTTACTTCTTGCACGGTGGGTTCTCACCGCAAGTAACGCGTTTGTTGCCACAACCGGAGGCCAGTTGTAGGAGACACAGCGCAATGAAGAAGATTACCAGCGTCAAGCGGGCCCACCTCATGATCTGAAACAAAGTTGACCCATCAAGCATCTCCACTACTTCATCAGCTACATGTCATACATAAATGTTCAACTTTGCTTCAGATCTTTGAGGGTCAGCGGTGTTTGAATAAGTAATCTTACGCAATCAAATGCTACTTCCTTTGCTAACGGGACTATTCTCACCTCTCGTTCCCACCGCTGCAACTCCTTTGTAGCCAGGATCTACAGCTTGGCCGCTAATAAAAACCCAACCAGTGAAGGTCAAGTTTATCCCGTACTTTCTTTGCTATTTGGAGTTAGGGCAGCCATTAATCTAAATATATAAAAGGAGAAACTGACTGACTGACTGACAGATCAACGCACAGCCTAAACGGCTAAACGTAGGCACTTGAAATTTGGAAGGGACGTAGCTTAGGTACCGTAGAGGTGCACTAAGAAAGGATTTTCCGAAATTCCCACGGGAACGGGAATTAGCGGGAAAAAGGGGATTCACGCGTACGAAGTCGCGGGCGGCCGCTAGTTTAATATAAAAAGATACTATGACTATTATGTCTCTACGTAATAAAAAAATAACTTACACGACTTCCAGATGTTTGTGTTCTCCGACGGAACTATTCTAACTTAATAGCCATTCTTCTTTTTTCTTGCCTGCAAACGAAAAATAGCGTTTTGAGTCGTTCCACCAAAAACTACACTAACTAAACTAAAACTAAGATTAAAACTAAAAATATCAACTCTACTGGAAAGGTGGAATTTGACCCAAACCGTTATTTTTCTTTGCAGGCAATGCTAAGAATGAAAGCACCGAATTTACATCATGTCTTTTATTTTAGATGTAAAATTCCAAAAACACAAAAAAGAAATTGAAATGAATTCTAAACATCTATGCAATGGTGGTCTGTGTATCAGCTAAATTGAACTCTAGCTGATTTTTCTTAAGTTTGTTCTGTATTTTAATCCAGTCCAGCATTTTCTCTATCTATTGGATACCGGTCTTGGTTTTAGTTCTTCCACAAACTTCATTGCGATTATTTTGTTTTGCTTCAGGTCATTTGACAAACATTATACCTGTCTGAAGCTCTTTGGCGTTTTAACAGTTGAATCTCTATGATCAGTTTCTGTAGGGTCCCCTTCGGCATGGCGCGCGACCAGAGCAGGGAATGTTCTTCTTGCAGCAGCCTGCCGCGCCTGCGATCAGCATGAGGAAGAAGGCCAGGACTATGGAGTATAGCCGATGAATATCCGTTTTTCCCATCTTGCGAAACCTGTAAAGAAATGTCTTCTTTTAGGAGAAGATGAAGACTTGACAGAAATAAGCTGATCTGTAGGTAAAACCTTCATGCCCGTTTTCACCATCAATCCCTAATTTTTAAGTTACCCCTATAAAAATAAAATTCCTATTAAGCGCTATCATAGGGGCCACTTAAAAAAAAAGTGACCATAAGTCTATGAAGTGTTTCTGATTTAGCGTTAGATCTCTAGACAGAAATATCGACTCAATATGATGAGAACTCTTCTACAGTTTAGCTACTAACCTAATCCAATATTGAGTATATAACGTAATTGATGTACCCAGCGATGTGGAAAGCATTGGGGGAGGCCTACGTTCAGCAATGGACGTCCTGTGGCTAAAATGATGATGATGAACGCTATTCAAAGTATTCAACATTTCAACCAACCTTATTCACTTGCTACAAGGCGCGGGCTGGCGACAAGCGATGTAAACCTTCCTAGTGCACCCGCTAACGTGGCCCAGAAACAGAAGCGCCGTGACGATCAGGTAGATGGCGCCGCGCACCGGATCCATGTTCCTATCCCCTCAGCATGACTCGCCTCCTGCCCTGGAGGAAAAACCTGCGGGTGCTTACAGAATGAACCTAGCATTGCTACACGCAAATCACTTTTATAGCTTGGGATCATTTTAGAACCTTTAGAAAATACTTAACTCCTGAGTGTAAGTCAAGCTCTTTTGAAACCGTAAAGAGATCTATATATATAAAAGAAAGTCGTGTTAGTTACTCCACTTATAACTCAAGAACGGCTGAACCGATTTAGCTGAAAATTGTCAGGGAGGTAGTTTAGAGCCAGGAGAAGGACATAGGATACTTTTTATCCCGTTCGAAATAAAAAAAAAGTCTGCTTATTTATTGCCATTAAGGCGGAACAAAGTTCGCCGGGTCAGCTAGTTATAAATAAAGAGGAGTAAAACTAACAAGCAGGAAGCAGTTATGCCTTTAGTCAGTAATGATCGAACTATCATTGTTGCCCATTATTGGCTCAAATATTCTGAGGGTTTTTGTTGTCCCTAGTTTTAAGGGAGTTGTTAAAATATCACTGTCTGTTATAAAAAATACCAATTTGTAAAGCGTTTGCTTCTTGTGTTTTGTCAAAGGTGGTACCACATTAGCACTAGTTAGCAAGTTCATCCAAGTGAAAAACTGTTTTGGCAGAAGATGTCCATGGCAGCAATAAACTTGCGTTTTCGATTGATAACATTAGCTTAATAATTTTGTAAGAATAAAGATGAGTCACAAAGATTAAAAATCAGTTGCTAAAATGGTTTACAAGTTTTAGGTCAAATTCCATCATTTTAATTCAAAGATCTAAGGGCAAAATACAGCGATCTACTCAAATAAAAAGTAATTCAGTCATACCTGCAATTCTTTCGGTTTATTTTTATTGTTTTTTGATTTTATTTACTGTGAATTTTGGCTGTAAAATAGATGGTTGGGTGACAGAACAGAAATTTTGATTGGACTGTCAATTGGAACAGTTTGAATGTGATGTGAAGTGTCCAAAAAGTTTCTGACTAATCGTTGGCAGCAATGAGGTTCTTACTGAAGATTGCAAGATATTGTGCAGCAAGAGTTAGACTATTACTTATTCTGTGCCAAGGCGCAGACCACTGACTTTTAGTTGGCCGAAAGTTGAGTCGGGTTGGTAATCAGTATGAAGATGTATGAAAGTGCGCACATTACGTCGATTTGGTATCGGCCGATTCTTCATACAAATTATAATCGGATTAATTGGGCCAACTATCGGCCAACTAAAAATCGGTGGTCCGCGCCTGGGCTTAGGGCGATCAACACAAGCGAAGAAATTGTATCTGTAAGTACGTACCTAACGTAATAAATAAGTTTAGCAAAAAATCTCAATACAGAAACCGGGCCTAAGTAATAGTAATGTTTTCGTATCGTATTGTCCCAGATTAAGTACCTGATCTAAGTAGTTAGCTACTTACTTACTTGTATCGGCAGTTCTGCGGTTGTAACATAAGTTTCATAAAACATTATAGAGAAGCAATGTTTAAAAAGCTTCTTTTAGAAAGAATGAGAAATATTTGGTACTTACAAGTGAAAGCTCTAGATCGTTGATCTCGCGCACGTTTTATTTTATGGTAACGTGGACGGATTTAGATGCAGTCTTTTATGTCGGTTATTTTCGCCTCCGTTGCCATCTCGCCGTGATTTACAGTACAAGACTCCTTTAGGAACGCGGACATGCCATTTATCAAAATCCTTCAGTGGTATTCGAGATTTATTAGGACCAAAATAAGCTACTCTTTCAGCAGATTTCGGACGCGTGGATCCCGTTTTACCGGGGTGGAGTTTCGTAAAATCTGTACTTAGTAAGCACCTATGTTCTAAAAGGAACCCCAATGCAAAATTTGAGACTCCTAGCACTTGTAGTTTTTGAGATTTCGTGATCAGTCAGACAGTCAAACAGTGACCTTTCGCTTTTATAAATTAACTAAGTAAGTACATAAAATATAGAGCACAAAATATGGTTTTTCGTGTAGGAACATGAGCCTATTTTAGCCTGTGTGGATGACGATAAAACAAAAATAGCATAACAAGTGTTACGATCGTGTTAAACTTAATGTTAACTTGCGTGCGCTATAAATTAAGACAATTATGAATGTTTTGATGGTAATAATAGTCACGCTGAAAGTCTGTGTGTGCGGGACGCCCAATATCCTTCATTATTAATCTTATTGATGTTACAAATCTTCCAACGTGGGTTCTAGAGTACTTATTATTATTCTGTGGTTCTAGTAAGTGTAGAGATGTGTCAGACTTAAAGCCGTCGTGGGCGTTAGATCTCAGTCATCTCATAATTCTATCTAGATAATCCAATTTTGGTTTATAAGCTATCAATGATTAAGCTTTTAAATAAGAATACTTACCTACTCACTGTCACACTGTTCCCTAAAACTACAATTGGTTATGAAGTTTGTTTGATGGAATAATCTTTACATACTAGGGCGGTTTTTGAGTTTATGTACAACTAGCGGCCGACGCGTGGATTCCGTCTTACTCCCGGGGGTTGATTTCTAGAGAATGTACCTACCTACATTTTAAATTTCAAGTCTCTTAGGTAGGTACTTCAAAAACAGAGGACTTTCATACGAACTTCCAATTTAATCTTCTGATTTTGGATCTGAAACTCTACTTTTGATCCACATTCATTACTTTAATGCTTTAAATTGAATGAGTAATGTGTACATTTATTAGTCATGTACCTACTTAAGTGGTGTTATTACAAAACATTTAGCTCCAAGTAATAGCGTGTTTGCAACACATTTCCGTTCAAACAGGTGGGCTAATGAAATTGAAACATTGTACATTACATTACATGTAGTAAACGTATATTTAAATGTTGAATAACGTGGCCTATTATAACGTGTACATTCATGTGCACGAGCTTTTAGCCATTAGTGATGTGGACATACCAGTTATTTTTATCGATTACTAAATATAGAGTTTTATACCTTGATTTTTTAGAATCCAGCAGAGATGTAAACAAATACTTCCATACACAATTACACCATAATCACTTACGTGTTCATAATATCATACACATTATTTAACAAGCCCATAAAACCAACTTTATTTTCACGTTTATACAAATTTGAAATCAATCTTTGAAACAAATTATTTTAGCAAAATACGTGGACGATGAAAAATGTGAGACTTGTCAAATTGACTTGACGTTTATAAAATCATGTGTTATCTCCATATTGTCTATGACTTGTCTCTGACACATCAGTGCTGTAACCTGTGAGTCATAGACTATAATTTGTAAATTTAATCGATATTATTTTAAGTATTCACTTATTCCGATTACTGATTAATTTTAAATAAAAAATATAAATTCAAATTCAAATTGTGTTTATTGTGAAATCACAGGTACATAAGTCAGGTCATTAAAGTATGATAGATCAGCTGTGTTCCGCCGCATGGGCATACAATATACGATTCTTTGTTTNCAAATTGTGTTTATTGTGAAATCACAGGTACATAAGTCAGGTCATTAAAGTAATAGATCGATCAGCTGTGTTCCGCCGCATGGGCATACAATATACGATACTTTGTTTCGTTTTCAAATTCAAATTCATTTATTTGCTGTATTGAAACTTATATCAAAGTGCTACGGTAGGTAGGTACCTATATGTAACGTGTGACTACGCCTTTCCAAACATGAAAATTACTATGCAACTACATTGGCAACTTTATTCAGTTCAGTACTCTGAAAATCTTGTTTTATACTTTTTCAGCGTCGTTTTTTGTCGTAGTTGGGTTTTAGTTTTTTTTACTTTTTATTATTTGTACTATTTTGGTGTTAAAGTGTATTTGTGGCGCATAATATTAACAAAAGTTAAATTGTAGCGGGAAGGCGCTGGATGCAGGCCGCTACCAACCGTGCGATGTGGAAGTCATTGGGGGAGGCCTATGTTCAGCAGTGGACGTCCTGTGGCTGAAATGATGATGATGATGATGATGAAATTGATGAACTAATAAGTAGTAAAGAAGCTATGAACGAAAAGATGTGAATTATGCAATCAGTCCATGAATACAGGTAAAGTCACAAGCAAATGCTAGTAATATATATATATTCGAAATGTACAAGTAAAGCGCTTTCAAATGATACCAAATACGGTATATTTATATTAACTTTATTTTTTTACTTTGTATGTTTTGTCCGCTAGAGGGCGCCACATTAGATTTTGTGAAACCCCATATAGCCTATAACCAGCGGACAATTAAGACGCTTCTAATGATATGTCATTTGTCGAATTCTGATAAGTAGTTTAGAAGTTACGAGGGTACACATGAACATACATACATACATACTTACATACATACATACATAGCCTGTCAAAATCATAACCCTCCTTTTGCTTTGCCGTAGTCGGGTAAAAAGTGCCACTAGACTAGTGGCTCCACAAGATTCTATTAAAGAGAACTCCTGTAGCCATCATCATCGGGCCACTTAGGCCCAGAACAGACGGTGAAACGCAACTGCAACGAAACTGCAACTTTGTGATGATTCTGATGAATGAAACTGAAACTGAAAGTTTCAAACTGGTCGCGTCATGTGTAGACCACACATCACTCAACGGACACTATGGCAGAAACTTAGATGCAACTCAAAAATAACTAACAGTTGCAGTTTCGTTGCAGTTGCGTTTCACCGTCTGTTCTGGGCCTTAGTCTTCACTGCAGTAGCACGACCCTCTCTACTTTACCAGAAACAGAGGATCTGTTGATCCTACACACCCCACGCTGGCCAGACGGGTTGGGGTTGCTGGTAAGTTTGTTTTAAAAAAATTGTAAGTAATCACTTAATAGGTGCAAACCTGTGCTTGAGAGTAGAGGATGCTTAGGGAAGGAAGGCGTTGCGGGCACTTGGCCGCCATCAAATGAAATTAATCAAATTGAAATAGGAAAAACTCAAGCACGATTTAGTCTTACATCTAATCACTTATTATATTACAAACCTGTGCTTGAGAGTAGTCCGGGGAGGGAGGACGTTGCGGGCACTTGGCAGCCATGCGAGCGCCTTGCCCGCAATTCTGCGCGGGCGCCGCCTCATCCTCCGCGTAGTACAAATGCACGAAATCCTCCGTGTCCAAAAACGTATTGATCAGCATACTCCACAGATATAAATATAACTAATAAATAACAGATCAGACTTTGGGAGCACTATACACTAGTTACACTAAGGAAGCACGCCACCGAAACGCATACAATTTGTTACGTTCCATTTTGTTTTGTCCACTTATTAATACAATAACTATATTTATAATAAATAAGTTAATATGAATCACTACACTTGTATAAAATCACATTTGATTGGCAATGCCACACAGTTATCTACTGGAATTGAAAATATTGGTTACGTCATTGCGTTCGTTCATGACAAATTTGATACAGCCAGTTTCAATGCGACGAGACGACCTCTTTGCTTGTGTCCTTATTAATAATTTATTTGCGTTCAATTTATCCTTTGGTAAACATATTTAATGAGTTTAATTTAAACTAAGCAATTTACTCTCAGAAGGGAATCACAAGTATGAAAATAGCGTAACAGATTAAGGCTCTTGTAGGTCTTCAAAGAGCAAATTACATTTCTAAATTTAGAAAACGATAAATGCTCTATAATTTTACAGTCTTCATAAAGATTAAATTATCAGTTTTTTCAACAAAAGAAAACCACGTGAGCGGTTCACGTGTTCTTGATTGCTTCATGAGTACCTAGACACAGGTACAGTCAGAGTCAAATAATTAACACTAAAATTGGCCAAAAAGTTGACAACCTTATTCCAACTGTAATAGAGACGTGTTGCGAACTTATTGGCTACTTTTGGTGTTACGAACTATTTGATACTGACTGTACTTAGTACTGTCGCATTGAACTGCTGAACAAATCAATCAAAAGACAAACGATGACGTCACACTGTCAC